AATATATACAATTTCATTATTACACTTATTAATTAATGATTATTAGTAATAATTTATAATTTTAATTATTAATCTTATAAAATATTACATTTAATTATTAAATATTTTATTGAAAACATTATCAAAATCAAACCTAAATTAAGTATACAATTAAGAACATTTCTTATTACTATAATGCAAAAGTCATATTCTCATTACTGTAATGTGAAAAAACAATTATATACTAAGTAAATATACAGTATCTACTATATGTAATAATAATGTTATGTAGCATTATTATTACTATAAAGTAGTAAATACCATTAAAATATTAATAAAACAATAATGACGATAAGCATAAGACTTTTTGCATTGAAACATTTGAGCATATTTTGTGTGCATGTATCAATAACAATAATAATTTAGATTTTAAGACCATTTGAGTGTTGCTTCCTTTTAGATATATTGCATATGTTTAAAGTACTGTAGATACTGTATATTTACCCTTTTCATGATTTTCACCCACAGTTATCTCTTATTCTTCTGTTGAAAATACTTAGTCTGGGTCTCCTCACACCTACTGTACGTAATGAGGTTGGCTTTTCCAGACATGCCAGAGAAATGTATATCTCAGCAGCCATCAAGGTTACAGCTACATTTCCTGTGACAGAAAACTCACTGCTCACTAGAATTACTGTATATCCTGTAAGAAAGGTGTAGATAAACAATTAAGAACCAGTCATTGGGCACCAGCGGTGCTCCAGAGCAATGAAGCAATGAAATGTAATGAGCGTTTTATGGCGCAAGAGGGAATAGAGATGCATTAACATAGCTATGGGAGGAAACAGAGACTTTTAGGAAAACAGGGGAAAAAAATGTTATGGGCGGCATGGAAACACTCAGTGATGGCAATCCAGCCATGAAGGTCTTTGATTGGTGTCTGGCCAACCTAAGAAAAAAAAAACTCCTGACTGTTGTGCAGGTTTCGTTCAGACAGAGCCTAATGTAAGACACTTAAACAGCTATTTATTCTGCATAAGAGTCGATTCTCCTTTAGGGCTGTTTTTAGAATCGGTGCAGACTAATGCGAAAATGACTATCAACAAATGTACGTTTCCCAATTAGCTGTTAATGGCTAAGTAACTGCATAGCCCAAGGTAAAGTTTTTGCACGCACACACATAAATGCTAAAAGCAGAGAATTGGTCTTATTTAGATCAAACAAACCATTACCCGAACGAATGTAGTATGTAGGAGAAAGCCCATAAAGTGCAATAGAGCTTAGCTTTTCTGGACTTCATTTGTCCCTCAGTTATTAGATTTTATTTCACATAATAGAAACTAAATTTAAATATGCACCACTTATCTTTTCTATACAGCAAGCAATAGCTACTCAATCTGCATTACTGCTAAATTGACCCCAGAAAGAGTCAGATTCTTCAGTGCAGATCTGGAAAGGGAATTATTAAGGAACAAGATCTGCTAACTCAAAGACACAATGGAATTTAAAGAGACAAGAACGTGACCAAAAAGGCTCTTAATGCATTGACCTTTTGACCTTTTAATGCTCTGCAGGGAGAGACGTCTTTTACCTAACCTGCTCATGAGTGACTCATAAAAACCTATGTACTGTAAGAAGAAGATTTAATCTATCGCCATACTCTGCTGTTATGGGATTTTATGAGTGTAATTACATTAATGTACTATTACCGTATGGAATTCAGGCTTCCCTCTGGATATATACAGCTGTGAGAGGATCGTGACAAGCCTACAAAAAGTCATATGTACTTCAGATGTACAGTGATTTGCTGAGAGGCAGTGACTTTGAGTTTGAATGCCTTCCATTCCGATTTAATAACATACAGCTTTGAACTTTATAATAACCCTGATCCTACTACAAAAGCCTAGTACAAACACTGTACTTAAAGTTATAAATATACATTACCTAATAGAAGTCAAATATTTGGAATAATTATGATTTTTGTTTTGGAAAAAAGTATCTGATTTAAAACAATTACAGCAAATTAGTAATATTGTGAAATATTATTATAATTTAAAAGAAAATGCATTCCTGTGATGGCAAAGCTGAATGTTCAGCAGCAATTACTGCAGTTTTCAGTGTCACATGATCATAAATCATTCTGATATAATAATTTGGTGCATAGTTTTTGCTGCTTAATATTTTTGTGGGAACCATGATACACTATCATTAAAAAGTTTAGGCTAACTAAGATTTAAAAAAAGAAATTAATACTTTTATTCAACAAGGACACATTCAATTGATCAAAAGTGACAGTAAAGACAATTATAATGTTGCAAAAGATTGCTATTTAAAAATGCTATTCTTTTGAACTATTGCTTTTGAAAGTACCCTAAAAAAATATCACTGTTTCCACAAAGATATTAAACAAAAAATGTTTTTTTAAATTAAGCTTTGCTATCACAGGAATATTTTTTTTTATATAAATGTAATATTAAACAGTTCTTTTAAATTGTAATATTTCACATTATTACTGTTTCTACTAAATGTTTGCCTTGGTGAGCATAAGTTTTAAAGAAATTTCTTAATTATTCCAAACTTTTGACTGGTAGTGTATCACATAATGTATATTTAAAACTGTGTTTCTTTCAAAAACTTTAACCTTAATTATTCCAAACTTTTCACCAGTAGTGTTTATATTACGAAACATTCAAGTTCTTCTGAATACAGACTTGGGGCTTGTTCACATCAAGTTTATACTATTTTAAATCTTTCTTGATAGGCAAACTCTGTAAAATAATTTTAAAAAAAAATCAGCAACACACAAAAACTCATTTGTCATTAAAAGCTGTATAATTAGATCTACATTTTGCAAGTTCAGCCTTCTCTTAAAATAAACTCTGCCCCTTGAGTGAGAGTGTTCTGTTGTGACTGTCCAAAAGCAGAAAGAGCCTCTATGTGACAGTTGTTGTTCCTGCCCTTGCTGGAGGCGGAATACTGAACGTGTAAATCAGGGGAGGACCGTTGTCCCTAACCAGGGTTCAAACTGCCCTCAACTTCCCCTGCAGGGTCACTGGGGACATCCATGAGAAAGAGAGAGACAGACAGAAAAGAGGAGCTGGAAATAGACGAAGCATTTTATGGAAATCTCCATGGATACTGTGTCTATAAAAAAGTACTAATGGAGATTTTTTATTTAAGTTTTGAAGAGCACAGGCTTTTCTGAAGGAACAAACTGCAGCATTTTGCGCATATCTGCTTCTCCAGGCTTTGCTATGAGAAGTTTCCATTTACTTTTCACATATTAAACAGTGCCATGCTTATTTGTTGTATTTTTGTGTTTGTTGTTGCTGAGTTCATACAAGGCAGCCATTGTGACTACAAAGATTTCGCTTTCAAGGTCTGTCCTGCAGCACATATAGTATTGCGTTTAAAATCAATGTTCTCAAGAATAGAACAAGCTTTCTGCTGTAAAATATATTGAATTACATGACCAATCTCCTAAGTAAAAGAGCTTTACATCTAATTAGATTTGCATTTCCAGAAAGAAATACCAGTGCTTGCAAGGCAGCAAACCAATAGTGTTAAAGTTTTAGGCAAGATTGAGTTTTATGCTTTAGTTCTGCTAAAATTAAATGCTGTTGTTGTCATGATATTCCGAATGCATCTTGTTTTCAGATGGCTGCACATCACACGTCATTATGCAGTAAAGTAAAGGCAACTATAACTAGATAAATATGCACAAGTAAGACATAAGCTTTTATAATTTAGTATTCCAAAAATATGCAAGAAAGAAGACCAATTTAGTATGCAAATAAATGCAAGAATGCAATGTATACTGTACATATATTAGTTTTTGAAAATTTTAAATATAATATATATTTATAAATAAACATAAAATAAATCTAGATATATAATGATATTCCATAATACTCTAAACTGCAATATAACAAAGAGTGAAAAATTTAAGGGGGTCTGAATACTTTCCGTACCCACTGTATATACTAGGTGTGTGTGTGTGTGTGTGTGTGTGTGTGTGATATTGCTCATATATTACATATATTATAATATACATAAAACAAAAAATAAATGCATATATGATAATAAAGCAGAGAAAGAACTGCTATCATATATAATATATAATGCAAATATATGCATTATATATTATATACATATGTGAGTGTGTAGAAAACACAAAATAGAATAAAACAGAATACTGACACGTGAACAAAATCATAAATGAAATTGCCTAATTTCATAATTATAAATGAATTATTTTACATATTTGTTGATTATTATTATTAATTATTAACAATACAATACAATATGTTTTTACGCATTGTTAAACCAGATGGAGATGCACATAGGACAAACTGTATGCTGCCTAACTAAGTGCTTTGTTAAACAGTTGAGTTACTAATAACAACTAACCTTTTAAAAACTGATATATCTAAAGCAGTGCATTAAATGCATGGGAAAATCTAATACAGTGTATGGTACTTGTATGAGAGTGGATTGTGCTGGATAGGATGTTGAGAGCTAAAGGCCTGTTTGAGGAGAGAGATGGAGACCTGAATCCTGAGCAGATGGATTCCTACTAGTAAACACATACCACTTTGGTGTGAAATGCTCCAACCTGGGGCTAATACTTACTTCAAACGAAATGAATTTGCATTGAAATTTATATCTTTAAACACTCCGCACCATCATGCAGCTGTTCCTGAGTACTGTGAAAATGTGCTGTACATGCAAATCAAACAGAGCTGTAGATCACCCGACAGAACTAGTACCGGGTAAAACACTTAAAAGAGGTGTGTGCACACACATGCAAACACAAACAAGTAATTAACCAAAGAATGATGGTGGCTTCCGCTAATCTGAACAAGGAATGATTGGTAGATAAAGTATAAAGTGCCAGAAGAGCTTTAATTTAAGCTGAAAAATAGACGTTTGGTTACTCACTGAGCTCAGCGATGCTCCCCACGCGTGTGGCCAGCAGGGACTGCTCAATAGTACGCTGCTCGGACTGACTGTAGGCGTCTCCAGCTTTATTTGAGCGCTGCTGGTTCCTGTGCAGGCTCAAACTGTCCGGCAAACTGAGGATTCCTGTACAAAAGAATTAAATAAAAATAAAAATTCATGTTCAGCTAGGAAAAAAATACAGCTGTTAAACTCAAAGTTCCAGTATACCAGCATTATATAATTATATAATAATAATGGTAATAATATCAAAGACACACCCCCCTCAGGAACAGAACCCATGACCTTGCTGTTGTTAGCACCACGCTCATCAGCTCAATACTAGGACTACAAGGACTTCTGTCTCATCCTGAAAAACCACTGGTGTTGCTTCCGGCTAAAATCACAAAAACTTCAAACCATTGCTTCCAGCTAAATTCCTCAATCCATAATATTGCTTTCTCCAGTGGAAAAGTCGTCTCGTCTGAATCAGGAGAGAAATATGCACAGATCAAGCACTGTTTACAAGCGAAAATAGTCCAAAACAGTAAATATGCAGATGGATTTTGATGTAAGAGGACAACAGGAGATTTTTTTTATTTTTTACTAGAGGCTGGAGGAAGTGTTATTATGGATTATGGACTCATATTTCGGCCAGAAGCAGTATTTTAAAACGCCTTAATGGAGGATGTGTTTCTAACAAACACGCAGCTTTTCACTTCACAAGATATTAAATGATGGACTGGAGTGGTGTGGATTACGTGAGGATTATTGTGATGTTTTTATCAGCTGTTTGAACTCCCATTCTGATGGCACCCATTCACTGCAGAGGAGCGTCATCTTCATTTAAAAGGATAGTTCACCCAAAAATGAAAACTCTATAACACTAACCCCTCATGTTGTTCCAAACCCATATAACTTTCTTTCTTTTGTGGAAGATGAAAGAAGATATTTTGAAGAATATTATAAAAAAAAAAAGGGTTCCCATCGACTTCAATTGTGTTTTTTTGTCCATAAAACAGAAGTCAATGGAATCGAAACTGTTTGGTTATCAACATTTATCAAAATATTTTCTTGTATGTTCCAACGAACAAAGAAAGTCATACAGGTTTGGAACAACATAAGGGTGAGCAAATTATCCCATTTTCATTTTTGGATGGACTATCTCTTTAATAATAATAAGCAGGCAAACTGTATAACAGGCCCCCCAGGGCTCCCTTAGGCAGTAACAGGTGATAAACTTGGCCGGCCGCTTGTTTTGTCTGCTCACAAGGAGAAAGAGAGGCGTATCACCTTTCCGGACAACCAGCAATTACTGTAAAGAACCGCTGTCCTCTATTTGTGGAACACAGACTTAGGTCTACATGCATATAACTTAATGCTAATGTTTCAATGACGACACCTGAAAGGATTCCGCACTTTACCAATGAAACCGACCCTGAAATCAACATTAGATTGAAGGCTCGCTTGTTCAGCACTACTGCACCATCACAAAGCTTTTCATCCCAGCTCACAGCTGAACCGCTGGTGTGAGACTCCGTTAGTGTCTGAATCACAGTGGTTATTGTTTTTAACAGGATGGTTGGGCTCCTCGAAAATTGGATTCGCTCTCGTCCCTGTGTTTCCATCAGTCCCATTGTTGCCAAACACTCCTGGAGCCAACGGCGTGTTAAATTATGATGTGGCGGAAACAAATGACTCTGTTTTGTTGTCCTCCACTGACAGAGGGGCTTTCGTTTGAACCGTCTCATTTACTCTCGTGAGGCAAATGTAATTTTAGGGGCCTGCCTGAGAGCGGGAATGATGTAAATCCTTAATCAGCTTTACCCGGGGAAATGTGACGGCAGTGTATGTTGCTTATCATAATGTAAATATATTGCTCGACAAACTCATCATAGGTCTTCCAAGGCATGTTATTATTATTAAAAATACACCCTTATATAATTGCTGCTATATAGATCATGCAGTCCATCTTACAGTAAGTGCTTTGCTTCAAGGAGGAATAAAAAATAAGGCGCATCCTGATAGAATTTGAACTAGGTTGCCATGGAGACAAGGCAGGGGTGGAGTGATGGTTACTTGCCTGCGGCATGGGAGGAAGTACAGGTGTTTAGCAATGCAAGACCACACCTCACTGTCCTGGGCCTAGTACTCTGCTATTGTATTCATGTATCAATACAAACTAATTCGCAGCCCTGCAGATGTTCATAATAAGATCTTGTTCTCTATTGCCCTCGCCTCAGCTCAATGAAGAATGAATGACAGGTGTATAAGATCCTAGAGCGGCGCAAAATTCCCCCTCGTTCACTATAATCTCCTGAGTCCACAGCTCTTATTAAAACTCTCAGTGGGTCTCCGTGACAGATGAGTGTGCCAGGCTCGTGCACAGCCAGCCTGAAACGCTTAAAGCAACGGGTGGTAAGACTGGCATCTCGCTCGCTTTCCTTTCAGCTCCACTTCCTCAAACATCGGTCAGGGTAAACTTTTCAAATTACAGTAGGCTATAAAGACTTCACACGTAGAGAAATGCATACACACGCACTTTAAATAACTTTAAACGCCTGGCTTCTTCCAAATCCTGGCCTTCTTTTGTTCTGTGTGATTATGCTTCAAAAGGAAATCATGCTCAAAAACATTTTATGGCAGGTTTTTACAGTTGGCCTACTGCCGAAAATATATTTTGAAGGTCAATGCTTCAGATAACTAAATATGACGTGTACCATTTATTTTTGAGAAAAATAGCACAAGCAAAATATTTCACAACAACAACCTTGCTTAATATTAGAAAATGAAACAAAAGGTTTGGGGTCAATAAGATTTTTGATGTTTTTGAAAGAAGTATCTTAAGCATACTGGTGCTGCATTTATTTGATTAAAAAAATACTGTAAAAATAGTAATATTTTAAAATATTATTTAAAATAACTTTTTAATATATTTTAAAATATAATTCAGGATTTTATTGATAAATAATTCAGCACTTATTTAAAATATAAATCTTTTGTAACACTATAAATGTCTTTACTGCCACTGTTGATCCGTTTCATGCATACTTGTAATGATATTATTCAAAATTGAGACATTTGGACACTTTATGGTTGTCAAATGTTACAAGTCAAAAAAAATAAATAAATTGCAAAAATGCAAAAAATAAAATAAAAACACCACTTTGTTTAATATTCTGTGATAAAATTCATACACTTTATGTGTGGTGTAAGTGTTCAAATGCTTATACAGGACTATATATCTGAGGTTGCTCTTTGTAGATCCCCGAGTCCGTTTATTCAATAAATAATTTAATAGAATGTAGAATAATAATAATATTAATATTTTAGTATTAATATTTTTCAGGTTATTCAGAGGTCAGGTAACAGCATCCTATGACTGCAACTAAAATAATTACCTGCAGTTAAATTATTGAAAAGGAATTGATTGAAAAGAAGAAAATCAGTATTTCACGGGTATTAAAGATTGTGAAATGTTTATTTTATAAAGAGTAAAAAAAAAAAAAGAGTTGATCTACCGGAACAACCAAAGCATCAGGGTGCAAGGAAAAAGCCTAAAGCTTGAAACCATACTGTCAGTCACACAGCGCCTCCACTACTTCACTCATGGCTTTAATGAGTTATGGCGACCAGTGTGAAAATTAATTTGCATAATGCTGCATAATAATAAATAAATGATCATGATGCCAGGTCATGAAGTGAAAAGTTTTTCCCTCAAGCTCCTTATTCGTCTTCTTCAAGTGTGCAGTATCTGCCAGTGATGCCACTGCAGATTAAGACCTCCCTCACTCCAGCTCACTATCCAAAAGGCCTGTGGGTTTGGAAACCATTAAAAGTGTGTCCAAAATGATACCCGTACCGCAAAGTCTTTATTCTCAAGGAACTCCGTTTATGATGACATAAGTAGACTGAGAAAAATAGAGCCTCCAGCTTTTCTTTCCAACTTACAACACACATTTTCTCTATTCTGACTGTCTGCTGGACATCAGTGGACTTATTTAAGACATTTGACCTAAAAGATACAGACCTCCTTGAGCTGGGGATGTGGTTTAGAGCCCACATTACAACTGGAGTGTGTTATTATGATAGAGTGATAAGTCATAACTTTGTGATGTAGTTTGTTTTTAATAAAGCATTTAGATTTACCTCAAATAGCAATGGGTTTTTGCAGAATGTGACTTTGAAAACTACTTTTATTAAAGCAAACCTAGCAGATTCAATACATGAAATATTTTGCAACACTAGAAATGACTTTACTGTCACTTGCTGAATAAAAGTATTAATTTCTTAAAAAAGAAAAACTTACTGACACTAAACTTTTGAACAGTAGTGTATATTGTCCAAAATTAAGGACACTTTATGGTCGAATGTTAAATAAAATAAAACAAAATAAAATAAATACAAAAACAAAATAATAAATAAAATAAAATAAAATAGTAATGCAATTTAAAATTTATACATTTTATGTGTGGTGTAAGTGTTCAAATGCTATAGATGTCTATAATATATCTGAGGTTGCTCATTACTTATCTGTACATTCAATAAGTAATTGAAAAATGTTGAAAACTGTTATTCAAGCTAACTTAGACTAGCAAATTTCAATACATGTTGTTTTCAAGCCGATGAACGAGAGAGAACGAATAATGAAGGCGTCAGCCAGGTTTAAACCAGTTTAGGATTGTGGGTGTGCAGGCATCAATGCCCTGTAACAATGTCAAAACCCAATGAATTCACATTGGCAACATACAACACACTCCTTTTGGCCAAAACCAAAGGCTTTGGTTTGGAAACACACAGCATCCACAGGTTGGCTCAGACAGGAGGCTCTATAAAATCATTTGCATTTTACCTCTAGGGTGCCAGAATTGCATTACAGTACTTATCACATGCTTCACAGTGGACCAGTTGACCAAAAGCGCTTTGACAGGCTGACAAGGGGACATTAGAAGAGCTAGTACGCTTGTGCAGTCAATGGGGAGGAACCGATGGGACATACTGGAGTGTTCCCAGCTTTCCCATGCACGCGTGCCGAATGCGGATACGCCGCTGACCTCACTGCAGCTTAGAGTCTGTATTTAAATCTATTTTAAAGGCCTGTGAAGCCCGGCCTGCTCACACACATTTTCTGTCTCTCTCCAAGTACA